TGACTGGTGAACCTGAATGACAGCCCTTTAAAAGTACTTGCTCAGAGGCAGGTTTTGTCAATGGACTCTGTCAAGGAGCAGCAAAACCAGCAACCTGCATTAGGATGTCCATGCAGGAGCCAAGGTACCCTCTTTCACTGCCTAGTTACCAAGGCATTCGATCCTAACACAAACGCCAGCCCTCTCTTAGCAATGAACCTGTTTGGGATTTTCATTTCACAATTGCTATCTTGCTAATCTAATTAATTCCTCACCTGCTGTCAGAGACAGCTAAACTGTTTTTCAACAAGACCCACAGGACAGAAAATTGCTGTAAAACACAAAGCTCCTCTACTGGTAGCATGTCAGGTCAGCCTGACCTGGCACTATCCCTTTGCAGAAGAAGCCTCAAGTACTGTTCTCAGCTGGTGATCCATGGCCTGTGCCATGGAAATGCTCACCTCCCATGTGTTGTCACTGGCACAGCTCACCACACTCAGCCCATCTGTACTGAACTCCTGCTCAAAGCAAGGCTGAGATGTTACTGCATCAGAAATGAAGATTTTATTATGTAATCCTACAAAACATGGAATAGTGATACAGATTTTCCTGATGAAGAAGCCACTAGAGTTATCCAGCTGGAAAAAAATCACTATAGACTCTAGCAACAGATGTATCCAGACAAGGAGTTCTGAGAAACCTTTTACAGCAATTCACCCCAGCTCTTACTGCAGTACAGGCATCAATACCAAGAAATGAACCTGCTGCAGGCAACACTCCATCCTGCTGTCACTCATCCTTAGTTCTATCTATCTTCTTTTTCTGGGCCCATGAGCAGCATCAGAAGGTCCTGTGTGCAAGACTTAGGTTGAGACCCTCTGTTTTAAGGACCATTTCAGCTGCAGCTGGCTCCTTTTTTTAAAAGGGTGAGTTTCAGCTCCTGTTCTATTTGGCTTTTTGTGTGTGTGACAGATGCTGTGTACATATTTTGACAGTCTCTAGTACTGTATTCTAGCAGTGTAAATGCTTCCTGCCTCCTAGAAAACCTTTCCTGTATGGACATACTGAAATAAAAAGGGAAGCTTCTCTAATGATATCCATCAATGGAAAACATTTGGCATAAATGAAAAACAAGCTTGTCTTTGCTGTATTTTTCAGTAGTCTATCGAGGAATAAAGTGGTCATGAGTAATTCAGACCAGGTGTGCCAGCCATATCCCACAAGTCTCCCCATGTTTTCCACAACTTGTATCTTCATTAAATTGGAATGGGCTACCTATGTCCTTCTTGCAAGCCTCACATAGTACCCTCATAATAGTTGGATTTGGTCTACTTAATTCTTATTTAACTCTCTTACAACTCAATTTTTTTCACATCTGCATTTTTTTTTCCTAGCCAGACACAACTCATAGAATCATAGAATCACCAAGATTGGAAAAGACCTCCAAGATCATCCAGTGCAATCATCCACCCATCACCAGTATTCCCCCACTAAACCATGTCCCTCATCACAAAATCTCTATGTTCCTTGAACACCTCCAAGATCGGGGACTCCACCACCAGCCGGAGCAGCCCATTCCACTGTCTCAGAAAAGCAGCATTTCCTAAAGTCTGGCCTGAATCTCCCCTGGCACAACTTGAGACCATTCACTTCAGTCCTATCACTGATTACACAAAGAAAGAGGCCAATCCCCACCTCACCACAACCACCCTTCTGGAAGTTGTAGAGAACAATGAGGTCTCCCTGAGCGTCCTCTTCTCCAGAACAATCCCAGCTCCTTCAGCCACTCCTTAGAAGACCTGTGCTGCAAAACCCTCGCCAGTTTCGTTGCCCTTCTCAGAACGTGCTCCTGGGCCTCAGTGCCATTCTTGTAGCGAGGGGCCCAAAACTGAACACAGTACTTGAAGTGCAGCCTCACCAGAGCTGAGTACAGAGGCATGATTACCTCTCTGCTCCTGCTGGCCACACTATTTCTAATGCAGGCCAGGATGCCATTGGCCCTCTTGGCCACCTGGGCACACTGCTCATCATATCCGGCTAACCATTTACCAATACGCACAGATCAGTTTCCTCTACACAGTCTTCCAGCCACTCTGCCCCAAGCCTGTAGTGTTGCTGGGGATTGCTGTGGCCAAACTCAAGACCTATTGCTTGGGCTTGTTGAACCTTATGTCATTGGGTTCAGCCCAGTGATCTAGTCCGTCCAGATTCAGCTGCAGTGTCTTCCTACCGCCAGGCAGATCAACACTCCCTGCCAACTTGGTGTCACCTGCAATCTTACTAAGGGTGCAGTCAATGCCCTCAGTCAGGTCATCAATAAAGATACTGAAGAGGACAGGCCCCAGCACTGACTTCTGTGGAGCACCACTCGTGGCTGGTTGCCAGCTGGATTTAACTCCATTCTCTACCGCTCTCTTGCCCCTGCCCTCCAGCCAGTTCTTACTTAGCCAAGAATGTACCTGTCTATGCCATGGGCTGTCAGCTTCTGCAGGTGAATACTGTGCGAGACAGTGTCAAGAGTTTTGCTGAGGTCTACGTGGACTACATGAACATCCTTTCCCTTGTCCACCAGATGTGTCACTAGATCATAGATGGAGATGAGGTTGGTCATGCAGGACCTGCCCTTCGTGAACCCGTGCTGGCTAGGTGTGATCGCCTAGTTGTCCCGCGCATGCCGCATGATCCAGTTGGTTGAGGTTGGCAGAGAAAGGTGCTACCTCAGAATCCAAGAGCTCTGTAAACATGTATTTGCCAGCCTTGAGGTGCTCATCAGGTGCCATAAGAAGATGCCTGCACCACCAGCTGCTCTTAGGTTTTCTTTTACTCAATCCTGGCAAGCTCCCCTATCCTTATGCCTTGCTAGCGGTCACTACAGGCACTGTTTGTCGTGCTTTCCACCATATCCTGCACCTGAATTGGCTCCATGCAGAGCTGCAGCTGCTGTTCACACTGATTCTGGCTGCTACACCACCAACTAGTGTGATGCACAGATTCCTTCTGCACAAGTTCCCTTCTCCTCCTACACACAGTGTGCCTAAAACAAACACAAGCAATTACAGAAAAGGAAATAAGGGCACAGGAATTGGAGCTTTCAATTCTGAGAATCAGGAAGTAAAATAAAACTGCAAAGCAGTGCAATAAATCTCCCTCAGTATGTCATCATACCTATACACAGTGTATTATGGGTTATAAAATAATGTTATCTCAAAACACTGAAATAGCAGCCCTGTTACATCTCCTGAGTCTTCTATACAGACTCCCCAAAATATTTTTTTTTCCAAAAGACATTTCACTCACTTTTTAAAAGACATTTTCTGCAGAACCAGAACTTCATCACAGCAGTCACATAGCTATTATATAGCACATAGCTATTACAAGCATAACTGAGTTGCTCATTAATTCTAAAGGAGATAACTCAGCTCTCAACCCAGTTTTCCTGAAAAGCTGAAAGCTAGACACCAAGACTTAGACAAATACACATAGAATCATAATAGCTGAGCTACAGTAAACCTTTCAGGACATCTTGAGTTTGAGACAAATGATTATTCTATTATATAATTTCAATATTAAAATGATTGTTTGTCATGGGAAAGAATTGCTGTTTGTATACAAGTAATTTTTCTCTCACCAATAATATCAAGGAACTAGATCAAAAGTAACAGAAACAAACCAAACAATCAAGCTTATCTTTAACAGCCTTCATGTAAGCAAAGCTGGAGATATGTTTTTATGTGAGCTGTTTCGTGAGGAACTGAGAGACACTGACATCTCAGAGATCACTGAGGAACTGCTACTCTGTGTCAACACCACTTCAAGAGGGGGAAATCATTGGCCCACAACCAACTATTTATAAGAAATCTCTGATGGAAATCAGGAGTGGAAACAATTTCACAATTCTGTATGTTTTGGCAATCTCAACTTTAAAAATTTCAGCCACTTAAAAGACTGAATACTGTGCTGTATGCAATGCAACAGCAGGGGAAACACACCAACATTCACAGCCAAGGAGGACTGTCATCACTTTACATCACTTTATCTTCTTGGCAGTACCCCAAGACCTTCACTCTGAGAGCTACTGGGCTCACTGATATTTGCTTCACAGAATTGCAGGGGTCGAAAGAGACCTCTGGAGATCACTGAGTCCAATCTGCTGCTGAAGCAGGTGCCCAGGTTATAAAGGAAAGCGTCCAGGTGAGTTTTGAATATCTCCAGAGGAGGAGACTCTACAACATCCCTGGGCAGCCTTATCCAGTGCCAGGTCATCCTCAAAGCAAAGTCGTTCTCCTTCACATTCAGATGGAATCTCCTGTGTTCCAGTTCTTACTTGCTGCCCCTTGTTCTGTTGCTGGGCATCATTGAAAAGAGCCTGTCTCTACCCACTTGACTCTCACACTTCAGATATTTATAACCACTGATAAGATTACCCCTCAGTCTTTTTTCACCAGGCTGAACAGGCCCAGATCTCTCAGTCTTTCCTCGTAAGGGAGATGCTTCACGCCCCTGATCATCTTTGTGGCCCTCTGCTGCACTCTGTAGAAGTTCCCTGTCTTTCTTGAACTGCAGAATCCAGAGCTGGACAGAGTACTCCAGATGTGGTCCCTCCAGGGCAGATTAGAGGGGGAAAATCACCTCCCTCGGCCTGCTGGCCATGCTCTTTAATGATATCTCTTGGGCACAAGGGCACACTGCTGACTCACAGCCAACCTGCTGTCCACCCGAACACCCAGATCCTTCTCCACAGAGTTCTTTTCCAACAGCTCAGCCTCCTCCACCATATTAATCCCAAAGGCTAGCCTGACATCGGGCTTTCAAATAACAGACAGATTCGGGTTCGGGAAGACCCAGCTCCTCCACAGCACTGCCCTCGCTAACTTCTCTGCACTTCCCTCCTCCATCCCCTGCCCGCAGAGCGCGTACACCCACGCCCCTAACGGCTGCAGGCGACCGTTGGGGCGGCCATTACAGGCAGCCCCGCCCCCCGGCGCCTGGGGGCGGGAGGGGGCGCGGCACTACGCAGTCCCCTGCCGCCATTTTGGTTGGGCTTGCGTCGCTTCCGCTGCCGCGAAGTAAACAGAGAGAGAAAAGGGGGAGTGCAGCGGAGAGAAAAGGGGGGACGAGGCGAGCCGAGCGCAGTGGGACGTGCCGCCGCGCGAAGAAGGCGTCGGTGGTCGGCTGCGGTGGAGGGGCTCATGTGGCCGGAGTGGAGGCGGCGGCGCGGTCCGAGCCCCGGTTGATGCGAGGCGCAGCAGGGAGCCGCCAGGTGAGCGGCTCTGGGAGGGTGGCCCGGCCCAGAGGAACCCGTGGCAGTGGCGGCGCCGGGTGCTGTGGGTGCTGAGGCAGCTGGGGCTGCCTCACAGCCTCCTTGGGATAGAGAGGAGCAACCGGAGCCGTGCACGGCTTTTAGTGGTGTCTGTTTGTTTGTTTTTGTTTTTTAATTACTGCCGTTGTTTTCTGTCCGCACGTTGCTCAGCGTTTCCGACGGCGTTGGGCTTGTGCTGTGCTCCTCCTGCCCGTCGGTAGCTGTCAGACTCGAAAGCAGGCTGCTATGACGGGTTGAGGTTTGTCTGGAGAGCCTCGAGGAGTCGTGCATCTGGGTATTGTACCTCTGTAGATTGATAGCTTGGTTGTTTTTCTGTTATTCTGTTTGTTTTCCTGCTTCTGTCGACAACTTTGCTTTAAAATTTGTGATGGTTACAGTAGAAGATTAGGAAAACAGGTCGAGTGTGCATCCTGGGAGTGAGCTGAAAGGAAGAGTGATGGCTCGTGTGTTGAAGGAAGTGTTAAACCAATGCTGACTGAAAAGCAGCATGTTACAAATGCTGATAATTAGTACAGGCAATTAGTGTACAGGGGCACGCCCATGTGAAATCTTGCATCTGTACTTTCCTTACTGAACTCAGATATTTCTCTTGGCCTTGGAATCAAAATTCAGCCAATTCTTTGAACTACTGGATGTGTAAATGAAAGGAAACGTAGCTGCCAGTTTCATTTTCCTGTTCTTGCAATAGTTTTGCAGAAAGGCTTACTTTCCTAATTGACTTTTTTGGTTTGTATACAGCGTTAGAGAAAAATGCATTGGAATGGGTTGCCCAGAGAGATGTCCTTGGAGGCATCCAAGATCAGGCTGGATGGGTCTCTGAGCAGTGTGCTCTAGCTGTAGGTGTCCCTGTTCACTGCAGGGGAGTTGGACTAGCTGATCTTCAAAGGCTCTCTCCAGCACAAGTTCCCCCTCTATGTTCTGTGGTTCTTTTATGTACAGGAGCATCTGAAATGTCAGTAACAAGAAAGTTGTCTGGAAACGTGTCTTTCCATCCCCTACTTGTTAACCATGCACTTAGAACACATGGCATTGTGTCGTCTTGGAAGGTTGTAACCTGAATTGGATCATCAGTACAGCTCTAGGATGACCATGTTGTCTCCTTCCTTTTTGACTGTCTTTTCATGGAGTACCCTGCAGCTTATTGAGTGTGTTTTGAGCTATAGCCAGTGTATATTAACTACTTAGAACTCATCCAGGCTGGTCTGTGTGCTCTAAGGTGCAGCTTGCTAGTTGATTGGTGCTTTTAGCAGTCACATCCTGGAGTTCTTTCCAAGTGGAAAACATTCACACAGTTCTGATGGAAGGAGTTAATTCCTGGTCAGTTCTCTGGAGAAGTGCCAGATGTACTGCTTGTGTCTTTGAAAAGATGACTTAGTAAAAATTGTACCTGCACAATGGTATTTCCCCCCTCTATGTGTGACGGGGGAATAAATCCAGAATTTGACCCTCTGAAGCTATGCGTAGAAGTAGTGTGCTGACTAGAAAACGTGTGTGTGTGTATTAGCTTATCTTCAAAAGCCAAGGCGCTCTGTAATAGATGTGGAGAGCTGTGTCAAATATTCACCTTCTGTAGTTATTACAGATGAACATGAAATGGATTTAGAAAGATTTAAAGGCATCAAGCATGCTGCCTCAAATTTAGCACCTGAATAACTTGTTTATGGTAGTTGCTCATTAGAATGTAGTTGTTTTGAGTTTATCTTCAATGTGATGTTTGAAGTAGTATTGCATTTTAGGCTAGTTTATTGCAGATAACACTTTTCTGCTATGGTTAGTGTTTACTGTAAACATTAGCATGATGGATCTCCTGTGAGTTTACTAGCCTAATTAGCAAGTTGCTTAAATATTTCACCTATTTTCAGTAGCAAAATAGGGTTACTTCATCTTTCTGTTAGCTGAAGATGATAGGTTGCTATATTCAGTTTTCCTGCATACCAGTATGTGCAAGTGAAGGTAGCAGCTCAGCAACAGAGCTCTTTCTTAGGAGAGCTTGTTTCACCGCAGCAGCAATGTTTGGCATGGGCTTATAGCCATGAGCTGTGGATCACGGTAAGTAGTTCTCAGCAAGTGAGAGGAGACTTTTGCTCTCCTGTGATCTTGTGATTGCCGCCAGTGCTAGTAGGATTAGAGAACCAGGAGACTAGTGGTGTTCATCAGTCTTTGATGACTGTGTTCAGCTTTGAGCACAACATTTTATTTCCAGACCTCAACTAGTAGGTTGCTATTATCTTGTGAGTAGGAGGTGCTATTTAGGTGTTTCATGGGTACTCGAGGAGATGCCCACTTTGGGAAAACAATCCATGATGTGCTGGATGTTAAAACTTTTTTTTTTTTCCTCTTTAAAAGACTTCTAGACTTTTGCTTGGTTGCTGTTCATGGCATAGAAAGTTAATCGTCTAGATAACAAGTGAACTGGACAGGCATCCGTTAAACTTCATTTGAAATTCCATGCCTTAGGGAGCCATGCAGAAAATAAACTGGGGAAGTTGGCTGGGGGGGCTGCTGTTACTTAGGGTGTGGCTGGGCATAGGTCAGTGAGTGGCAAGTAATTGTGTTTTGCGTCATATCTTACTTCTTACTTCTCCTTTCCCTCTTTCTTATTAAGTTGTCCTTATTTCAGTGTATGAATTCTTGTACTTTTACTTTGTTCCATCCCTAGAGTTCTCCCCCTCATCCTGTCGAGAGAACACATGGATCAAAACCTGATACTGAATTTCAGATGTACATATGTGTGATGTGTTTCACATGTGGTGGTTTTTTCATCTGTAGTATGTAACATAAGGTATCAGTAGTACAAGTGGGTGATGAAGTACGTGCTACTGAGAATGGAGTAACCTTTGGATTCAGACTTGTTGAATTTAATATAATTCAGAAGAAAGTTTACTGATTCCTCTCATCTCCTGTTCTGGGGAGAGGCAGAGGGAGTGCTGAGCCTCTCAGATTTTTATTGGTAATCTTTCACAAAGATTACATTTAAAAGATTACATGAAAACATTTTCTTTTTTTTTTTTTTTTTTTTTTTTTTTTTTTGGATGACATGTTTTTAAGGGTATTGGTTTAAGACTAACATGCTGAAATAACATCTTTTGCTTAAAGAAATTAATCCTACTTGAGAATAAAAGCAGATCAGATGCATCTGCAAGCATTAATACATTGCTTTTAAAAAATTTCTTAATACTTCAGTTTGAACTTTTGTCCTACAAGTTCAGATGGTGTTGTTTCTGGTGTGTGTGTGGGGGGGAGCACTGAATGAGTGTTCAGAATATTGTTTGGAAGAACACTGATGAGAAAGTAAACTAATAATCGGCAAACTTAGTGGAACAAGTTAGGTTTAGAGTATTCTCAGATAAGAGGAATACTGAGAGTTGCTGTTGTGTGTGGATTGGCTGTGGTAATGGTTATAGAAGTAACATTAAAGTTATTTATTTTGGTGGTAATAAGACATTTAGATTGCTATTTCACACTTACTGCTACTTGATGGTTTTATTTCCTTTCTGTAGCAAAACAGACCTCTGGAAAAATGTGGTTGCAGAAAACATGCATCTTTTTGTCCATGGTTTTCTATAAACATTAGGCTTATTTGAGCTCTGTTACATTTACACAGTTCATGGAAAATGTGTTCTTATCTTTGTAGAATGAAACGAGGAAGGAAGACTAATGAGGCCAACAGCAGTTCATCTGAAGAGACAGCTGAAAAAGAATCCAAGAGGCACAAGAGCATAGATGACAAAGCCACAGTTGTACAGAGTCCTGACTGGGGTAACCTGCTCCAAGACATTATCCTGCAGGTATTTCAGTACTTGCCCCTTTTGGATCGTGCTCATGCATCACAGGTCTGCCGAAGCTGGAACCAGGTGTTTCATATGCCTGATCTCTGGAGGTGTTTTGAGTTTGAACTCAATCAACCGGCTACATCTTACTTGAGGGCTACACATCCTGAACTGATCAAGCAAATAATAAAGAGGCATTCCAATCACTTGCAGTATGTAAGCTTCAAGGTAAGGCATTTTATAGATTTTTCTTATAATTACTTTCTAAAAATTAATGCAAGTTAGATTTTGTTCCTTTTTTTTTTTTTTTTTTTTTTTTTTTACTTAATTCCTAAAAACATTCATAATAATTTCTGATACTTGAGATAGTTTTGGTGGCTTATCTAATTTAATATTTCTCATGCTTTAATATTTATATCAGTAATTGACATAGTTATGACGTGGTCTTTGTTATTAAGATCCTCAGTTATTAAAGAGAGAATGTGGCAGTTCTCAGTCTGGAAGACTTGGTTTTCAGGTTCAGTATACTGGATAGCAATAAAGGCTTCTTTGAGTGTTAGTAGCAGTAAGAAGGCCAGGAAAAATGTTGGCATGCTGCTGGATGAGATGTCAGTGTCCTAGTAATGGAGGACATTAAGAAGGTATTAGTAATGACTGAAGCAAAGAAGGCATTCAGTAACTCTTAAGACTGCCCCTCAGGAATCCCAGATGCTAGAGGTAAGAGAGAGAGTCTGAGGAAGGAAAAACTTGGTTGGGGAGCTATTCAGAGATCGCTTAGGCAAATTCAACACATGCAAATTCATGAGCCGTTATAGGATCATGGAATAATTAAGATTGGAAAAGATGTTTAAGATCATCTAGTCTGACTGTCTGCCTACCACCAGATTGCCCACTGTGCCAGGTCTCTAAGTACTTCATCTGCCCTTTTCTTAAACACATCCAGCAACGGCAACACCACTGCTTCCCTGGGTGACCTGTTCACTGCCTAGCCACTCCTTTGGAGAAGAAATTATTCTGGATATCCAGTCTGAACTTCCACTGGTGCAACATGAGGCCATTCCCTCTTACTTTGCCACGAATTACCTGAGGGAAGAGGCTGACCCCCACCTCACCACAGCCTCCTTTCAGGTAGTTGTAGGGAGTGATAGACAAGTGATAGTATAGAGTGAGCCTCCTCTTCTCCAAACTAGACCAGTCAGAGGATGTACCCATGAGTGCTGAGTCAGAGCTGGTAGAAGAGTTTGCTAAGCTGCTCTCTGTCATCCATGGAAGGTCATGGAGAATAGGAGAGGTTCTGGAGGAAAGCCTGTGTCATTCCAGCCTTCAAAAGAGCAAGGAGGACCTAGGAAACTACAGACGAATCAGCTTCATGTCCATCCCTAGAAAGGTGATGGTACATTTTATTCTGGATGTTATGTCGCCAAGCAAGGGAAAGAAAGGATGGTTATCAGGAGGTAGTCAATGCAGATTCACCAAGAGGAGACTGCCCTTGACTAATCTGGTAACTTTCTTTGATGTCTTGACCAGCTGGGTAGATGACGGGACAGCAATGGATGTTGTGTACTTTGACTTCAGCAAAGCTTTTGACACTGTGTAACGTCCTTGTAGGTAAGCTTAGGCAGTGTGGGGTAGATAAGTGGGCAGTGAGGTGAATTGTGAACTGGCTGACTCAGAGAGCTCAGAGAGTTGTAATCAGTGGTGCAGAGTCTGTCGGAAGCCTGTGATCTAGTGATCCCTAAGGGTAGGTAATGTATCCAGTCTTGTTCAACAAATTCATTAGTGACCTGAATGAAGGGATAGAGTGCACCCTCAGCAAATCTGGGAGGACTGGCTGGCACACCAAAAGGCTGTACTGCCATTGAACAGGGCCTGCTCTGACTGGAGAGTTGGGCAAAGAAGAATCTTACGAAGTTCAACAAGGGCAAGCGTAGAGTCTTGCATATAACCAGATACAACCATACAGGCTGCTGGCTGAGCTGCTGCGAGTAGCTCTGCAGAGAAGGACCTGAATATCCTGGTGGACAACAGTTTGACCATGAGCCAGCAATGTGCACTTGTGACCAAGAAGGCCAATGGTATCTTGACGTATATTAGAAGGAAGATGGCTGGCAGGTTGAGGGAGGTAATTCTCCCCCTCCTCCCTGTTCTGGTGAGGCCAAATCTGGAGTACTGTGTCCAGCTCTGGATTCTGCAGTTCAAGAAAGACAGGGAATCTTCTACAGAGTGCAGCAGAGGGCCACAAAGATGATCAGGGGCGTGAAGCATCTCCTTATGGGGAAGAACTGAGTGACCTGGGACTGTTCAGCCTGGTGAAAAAAGACTGAGGGGTAATCTTATCAGTGGTTATAAATATCTGAAGTGTGGGAGTCAAGTGGGTAGAGACAGGCTCTTTTCAATGATGCCCAGCAACAGAAGAAGGGACAAGCAAGCAAGAACTGGAACACAGGAGATTCCATCTCAACGTAAAGAAGAACAGCTTTGCTTTGAGGATGACCTGGCACTGGATAAGGCTGCCCAGAGATATTGTAGAGTCTCCTTCTCTGGAAATATTCAGAACCTGCCTGGATGCATCATTGTGCAGGCAACCAGGGTACCTCTGTCCCATTGTATGTACTGCAGCTGCTTGATTTGGTATCATACGTAAGCTGGCTATCACAAGGCTTGCAGATGATTTAGGCTTTTCATCTTCACAGAATCACCAAGGTTGGAAAAGATGTTCAAGATCATCCAGTCCAATCATCCACCCATCACCAATAATTCTCACTAAGCCATGTCACTCAACATCCAAACATTCCTTGAATGCCTCCGTGATCAGTGACTCCACCACTCCCTGGGTAGCCTATTCCAATGCCTGACCACTCTCTCAGAAAAATACTATTTCCTAACATCCAGCCTAAATTTCCCTTAGTGCAGTTTGAAGCCATTCTCCCTAGTTCTATCACTAGTTACACAAGAGAAGAGGCTGGCCCCCAACTTGCTACAACCTCCCTTCAGGTAGAGAGCAATAAGGTCTCCCCTAAGCCTCCTCCAGACTGAACAAGCTCCTTCAGCTGTCCCTCATAAGGCCACTGCACCAGACCTCTCGCCAGTTTCGTTGCCCTTCTTTGAACCCGCTCCAGGGCCTCAATAATTTCTTGCAGTGAGGGGCCCAAAATTGGACACAGTACTTGAGGTGTGACCATACTAGTGCTGAGTACAGGGGGATGATCACCTCTCTGCTCCTGCTAGGCACACTATTCCTAATGCAAGCCAGGATGCCGTTGGCCTTCTTGGCCACCTGGGCACACTGCTCATCATATCTGGCCAACCATTGACCAGTACTCACAGATTAGTTTCCTCTGCACAGTCTTCCAGCCACTCTGCCCCAAGCCTGTAGGGTTGCTGTGGCCAAACTCAGGACCTATTGCTTGGACTTGTTGAACCTTATGTCACTGGCCTCAGCCCAGTGATCCAGTCCATCCAGATTCAGCTGCAGTGTCTTCCTACCCCCAGGCAAATCAACACTCCCTGCCAACTTGGTGTCACCTGCAGTCTTACTAAGGGTGCAGTCAATGCCCTCAGTCAGGTCATCAATAAAGATACTGAAGAGGACAGGCCCCAGCACTGACTTCTGTGGAGCACCACTCGTGGCTGGTTGCCAGCTGGATTTAACTCCATTCTCTACCGTTCTCTTGCCCCTGCCCTCCAGCCAGTTCTTACTTAGCCAAGAATGTACCTGTCTATGCCATGGGCTGTCAGCTTCTGCAGGTGAATACTGTGCGAGACAGTGTCAAAAGTTTTGCTGAGGTCTACGTGGACTACATGAACAGCCTTTCCCTTGTCCACCAGATGTGTCACTAGATCATAGATGGAGATGAGGTTGGTCATGCAGGACCTGCCCTTCGTGAACCCGTGCTGGCTAGGTGTGATCGCCCAGTTGTCCCGCACATGCTGCATGATCCAGTTGGTTGAGGTTGGCAGAGAAAGGTGCGAAGGGCAAAGAAGGTTGAGGGCAAAGTCAAGTGTGTACAAACTCTGGAAACAAGAGCGTATCTCCTGGGAAGAATACAGGGAAGCCGTCAGGACTTGCAGACATGGGATCCGGAAAGCCAAGCGCAGGCAGAACTGAACTTGTCAAGGGATGTGAAAAACAATAGGAAGACTTTCTACAGGTACATTGGACAGAAGACACAGGCCAAAGCGAGTGTACCTCCTTTGGTAAATGTAAAAGGAGAACTTTCAATGGACTAAGAGAAGGCTGAGGTACTGAATGAGTTGTTTGCCTCAGTCTTCACTGGTGGTCAGGATTCCAGTACTTCTCACGTCCCTGAGCCCTGTGTCCGCAAACCTTTAGGTGAGGACTGGGGTGGTAAATTCCCCCCACCCGCCTCAACTATGAGGACAGCAGATCTGAGATCGCCTCATGAGACTGAACGTGTACAAGCTTATAGAGCCAGATGGTGTCATGTCCAAGGTTCTGAAGGAGCTGGCTGAGGTAGTTGCCAAGACTCTATCCATCATATTTGAAAAGTCGTGGCTCTCAAATGAGGTCCCGGATGACTGGAGGAAAGCTCACATCACTCCCATTTACAAGAAAGTGAGCAAGGAGGACCCGGGGAACTACAGGCCAGTGAGCCTCGTCTCTGTCCCTAGGAATATCATGGGACAGATCCTGCTGGATGACATCCTTGATCACATGAGGAATAAGTGTGTGATACGAGACAGCTAGCATGCACCAGGGGAAAGTTATGCTTAACCAATCTGGTGGCCTTCTATGATGGAGTGATGGCATTGGTGGGCAAGGGCAAGGCAACCGATGTCATTTAGCTGGACTTGAGCAAGGCCTTTGACATGGTCCCCCACCACATCCTTATCTCCAAACTGGAGGGATGTGGATTTGATGTGTGGACCACTCGATGGATAAGAAATTGGTTGAAAGGCAGCAGGCAGAGGGTGGTCATCAATGGCTCTATGTCCAGGTGGAGGTTGGTAATGAGCGGCATTCCCCAGGGATCTGTCTTGGGACCAGTGCTCTTTAACATCTTTATCAATGACATTGGTGATGGAATCGAGTGCATCCTCAGCAAGTTTGCTGATGATACCAAGCTGAGTGGTGCAGTTGACACGGTGGAAGGAAGGGATGCCATTCAGAGGAACCTCAACAGGCTTGAAAGGTGGGCCTGAGTGAACTTGATGAGGTTCAACACTGCCCAAAGTTCTGCATTTGGGTCGGAGGAATCTGGGAGGCAGAATGGCGAGGCCAGACTGTTTTCAGCAGTACGTGGAGACAGGAGAAGGGGAAACAGCTGGAAACTGGAGCACATGAAGTTTCACACAATTGTGCCCACGAACTTCTTTAAGGTGAGGATGATGGAGTGCTGGAACAGGCTGCCCAGGAAGGTTGTGGAGTCTCTTCTCTGGAAATATTCAAGACCCACCTCAATGCCTACTTGCAACCTGGTGTAGGGAACCTGCTTTGGCAGGGAGGTTGAAGATTCTTGATCCTTGAGGTCCCTCCCAACCCCTACGATTCTGTGATCTCCCTCAAGACAATCTGCTCCATAACCTTCCCTGGCATGGAGGACAGGCTAATCAGGACGAAGAGTTGGATGAGGCATTCTATGAGCAGCTTGCAGAAGTCACGCAATCGCCAGCACTTGTTCTGATGGGAGACTTCAACTTCCCTGATGTATGTTGGAAATATAATATAGCGCAGAGGAAGCAGTCCAGGAGGTTTCTAGACTGCGTGGAAGATTGCTTCCTTACGCAATTGGTAGGAGAGCCTACCAGGGTTGGTGACCTGCTAGAGCTGCTCTTCAGTAATAGAGAATGGTGGAAGATGTGAAAGCTGGGGACTGTGTTGGGCAGAGTGACCACAGAATTGTAGAATTCTCCATTCTTGGGGATGTCAAAAGAGTGGCCAGCAGAACTACCTTCTTGAACTTCCAGAGGGCAGACTTTGACTTGTTCAGGGAGCTTGTAGCACGGGTCCCTTGGGAGTTGCTTCTCAAGGGTGAAGGGGCCCAGGAAGCCTGGATGCTCCTCAAGACTGAAATCTTAAAGGCACAAGAACAGGCTGTCCCTGAGTGGCGTAAGGTGAGCTGTAGGGGAAGACGACCGGTGTGGATGAGCCAGGAACTACTGTTGAGACTTAGGGAGAAAAAGAGAGTCTACATCCTCTGGAAGAAGGGACAGGCTGCTTGGGGAGATTACAAAGAAGTAGCTAAGGTATGCAGGGAGGAAGTTAGGAAGGCAAAAGCCCAACTTGAGCTCAGGTTGGCCTCTGCAGTAGAAGACAATAAAAAATCCTTTTATAAATATATCAACGGGAAAAGAAGAATCAAAGATAATTCTCATCCTATACTTGATGCAGCAGGGAATGTGGCCACTGAGGTCAAGGAGAGGGCTGAGATCCTCAATGCCTTCTTTACATCTGCCTTTAACACCCAGATCAGTTATCCCCTGGGCTTTTTATGCCCCGATCTGGAAGTCTTGGACGCTGCTCAGAATATGCCCCCAGCAGTTCCGGTGGAGACAGTCAGAGAGCTCCTCCTCCGTCTGGACTGTCACAAGTCCATGGGACCGGATGGGCTGCACCCTCGGGTGCTGAGGGAGCTGGCGGGGGTGATTGCTGAGCCCCTTTTGGCCATCTATCAGTGCTCCTGGTTAACTGGTGAGGTCCCAGAGGATTGGAGGCTTGCTGATGTGACTCCCATCTTCAGAAAGGGCCGTAAGGAGGATCCGGGGAACTGTAGGCCTGTCAGCCTGACCTCAGTACCAGGGAAGGTTATGGAGCAGACCATCTTGGATGAGATTGCACAGCACGTACTCAGTGTCCAGGGGATCAGGCCCAGCCAGCACAGGTTCATGAAAGGCAGGTCATGCTTGACCAACCTCATCTCTTTCTACGACTGGGTGACTAGTCTGGTAGATGAGGGAAGGGCTGTTGATGTAGTCTTCCTAGACTTCAGCAAAGCCTTTGACACGGTCCCTCACAGGCTTCTTCTGGGGAAACTGGCTCCCCGTGGTTTGAACAGATATACACTTTGGGTAAGGAACTGGCTACAAAGCCGTGCCCAGAGGATCGTGGTGAATGAAGTCCAGCTGGCGATCCGTTTCAAGTGGTGTCCCCCAGGGGTCGGTACTGGGGCCCATCTTGATTAATATCTTTATTGATGACCTAGATTAGGGCATTGAGTGCACCCTCAGGAAGTTTGCAGATGACACCAAGCTGGGAGGTGGTGTTGATCTGCCAGAGGGTAAGGCGGCCCTTCAGAGGGATTTAGACAGGCTGAACCGCTGGGCTGAGGTGAATGGGATGAGGTTTAACAAGGCCAAGTGTTGAGTTCTGCACTTTGGGCACAACAACCCCATGCAGCGTTATAGGCTTGGGGGTGAGTGGCTTGATGAGTGTGAAGAAGAGAAGGACCTGGGGGTGTTGGTTGATGCTCGGCTGAACATGAGCCGACAGTGTACCCAGGTGGCCAAGAGGGCCAACAGCATCCTGGCCTGCATTAGAAACAGTGTGGCCAGCAGAAGCAGGGAGGTGATCATCCCCCTCTACTCAGCACTGGTGAGGCCGCACCTCGAGTACTGTGTTCAGTTTTGGGCTCCTCACTACAGGAAAGATGTTGAGGTCCTGGAGCGTGTCCAGAGAAGGGTAACAAAACTGGTGAGGGGTCTGGAGCACAAGTCTTATGAGGAGCAGCTGAGGGAGCTGGGATTGTTCAGTCTGGAGAAGAGGAGGCTCAGGGGAGACCTCATTACATTGTACAACTTCCTGAAGGGAGGTTGTGGTGAAGAGGGATTTGGCCTCTTCTCCCAGGCAACGAGCAGGACACGGGGCAATGGCCGCAAGTTGTATCAGAGGAGGTTTAGGTTGGACATAAGGAAGAACTTTTTCTCTCAGAGAGTGGTCAGGCACTGGAATGGCTGCCAGGAAGGTGGTGGAGTCACTGTCCCTGGAAGTGTCCCTTCAAGAGGCATCTGGATGACGTGCTGCGTGATACGGTTTAGTACTAATGGTGGCAATGGTGATGAGGAGACAGTTGGACTGGATGATCCTATAGGTCGTTTCCAACCTTGTGATTCTATGATTCTATGGATAATGGCAAGCAGCTCAGCTATCTCCTCTGCCAGTTATTTCAGCGCTCTCGGGTGAATCCCATCTGGCCCCATGGACAGTTCAGCTGGAGTAGTAGGTCTCTGACTGAGTTCTCCCGAATCGCGGGGGTTCTGTCTGTACCCCTGTCGAGACTACCAGGCCAGAGAGTGGAGTACCCTGAGGATACTTTGTCTGACCTTCAAAGACAGACGTAAAGAAGGCATTCAGAACCTCTGCCTTCTCCTTATCTTCAGTGGTCACATTCCCAGCCTCATCCAGTAAAGAATGGAGATTCTCTTTAGTCCTCATCTTACTATTCAAATGGAAAATGAATGTTTATCAGATTTAAATCAGTTGCTGGCATGTTAGCATGGCTTGTGATAGGCCTAAAATTGATCCTGTGGTTACGTAGGCTTAAATAGCTGTCAGAGATTTGTATGTACAAGGCTGTTCTGGAAGCATGTCTGTACGCATTAGGGGAAATTGACTGGAAGTACATTAAGTGATTAAATTTTGTAACAAGCTTTACAGGATATCCATAGCATATCTGTTGTGGTATTAATGGTGGAGACCTAACTTGATAGCTTCAAATAATAGTGTACTTAATTCTCCAGAAGCTCTTCTATGAGCTGAGTCACCATAAAGGAAGCAAGTGGCTTTCTTGCACAGAGGACAGTTTATAGTATTCCCACATTTTGATAACAAAGAAAACACATTGATAGGTTCTGGAGCCAAAAGAATCTTCATGTATTTTTTATTTTATATGGATTAAATGCTTTGGAACAGACTGTGTAGTTAGTCTCTCATCGTGCAAAATTTTACTGGAATATTTAGTAACCTGCTAAATTGATAGCAAATTATATTGGATTTTTGATGTCTGTCTTTTAGAGAAAAATAAAACAGGACATTAGTGAAATTCCAGTGCATTTTTTTACCATCATATGACAGAAAATAAAGCAGAAAAAAACCCATGGAAAACAGAGTTGCTTTATGTCAGTAATGGTTGTATTTTGATGCAGTGTTTTCTGATTCAGTACATTTACTTCTGTTTTAAGGTGGACAGTAGCAAGGAATCTGCAGAAGCAGCTTGTGATATTTTATCGCAGCTTGTGAATTGCTCTCTGAAAACTCTTGGACTAATTTCAACTGCCCGGCCAAGCTTCATGGATTTACCAAAGGTATTTGAATGCATGTAAATTTTTGTAGAAAAATATTGCAGTGATTCATAGAGTATTGTGAAAAGCTATGTTGTAAAAATGAGCCTTTGGCAAAAAAACAAACAAACAAACAAACAAAAAAAAAAACACTTTATTGTGCTCAACTAAGGGGAAGAACTGAGATGATCTACTAAGATGGGTAACTGAAGTTTCATTCATTCTCTGCATCACATGAGATGCTAGTTCAGATCTTGTTCTAAGTATTCCTGTCTGTTAGCTTTGGATAACATGCTGTAAGTCATTAGCCTAGAGGACTTATTAGGAGAATGATTATAATCGAAGAGGTAGAGTTTAATCTGTGGGAGCTTGCTGTAGCAATTACAGCCATTGGTAAGTATATTTTTTACATTCATATAACTTTAAGGAAATATTTATTACTTGATGTCACATAGTTAAGTGCTCGATTCAGAAGCAAACTGCATCATATCTATGAAATCTGACAGACTTTTTTTTTAACCTGGCTTGTTTATCCAAAACTAGATTGCATTAGAAGCTCCGTTATCTAGAAGTAAAAAAAATAAAAAAATAAAAAAATAAAAAATAATTAAAAAAAAAAAAAACAAAAACACCCAGCAATCCCCTCTTATATGCTTCTAAACAAGCAGTCCTGCTAGTGAAGTAGAAGGATTCTGTTACTGAGGAGCTGAGGGGCAGCTGTGGTAACCTGGGCAGTTCTATGCAAGAACATCATGGATGTCTGTCAGCCTCATTTCTTGAATCTAGCCCACATGTATGTCAAGAGCCAGTTAAAATTAGGCTGTTAGCTGGATAAGATGATGTCATTGCTGATGTCAACAAGGACAAGGAAGAGGTAGGGACAACCTCAGGAAAATAAGTAGGATATAGGGTTTAAGTGAGGTTAGCTGCAGAAGGATTATCAATTATTATCCTTGTTAGTGATCACAGACGTGTCATGTACTTTTCTTGAATATGTGTTTTTAATCCTTAATTTTCGAAGACATTTTTCAGATCTTTGAGTTTTTTTGTACCTTTTTTTCTTTCAGTGTGCTTTGAGACGTGACCATTAGGAAACCTAAGCATAATGCGAACAATACTTTGTCTTATGTGTTTAACAATATTTTGTCCATTCAGCTGTTGCATATTTTATTCTTGATCGGAATGCTACTTCAGCTTTTCTGTGTTTTCCCCTGGAGTCGTGTTCTACAAGCTAAAGAATCAGTTGTAGTCATTCATGCTGTAGACTTATGAAGTGTCAGTTCTTCTAAAATACAGACTTCCTTTTTATTACCAATAGGTTCACATGTTCCTTCTAAAAATATATTCAAGATGCGCCTAAATCAACTCTTGAGAATAATTTGCCTTGTGGTGTTTACGACGCGAAGAACTATTGCCTGTCTTCTATTAAGTCTTTGAACTGTGGTTTCAGATGAGCTGATTTTCTTGAGTTCATTTCATTTTTCTTTTCAGTATCCTTCTTAGAGGAGGTTACATTTTAAATTCAGAGTATATCAAACACAGTACCAGCGCTTTCTGAATACAAAGTGAGAATATCAGTAAGCATCTTTTTCTCCTTGGTCTGTAACATACGTAATCAGAGTATTGTCAGTGTACTTGGGAGTGGTGCCTAAAGCCTCATGCTTCTGATCTGAACATTCAGTTTTCATTTACGTGAACTGAAGTTGCTGGTTTATTTAATTTGAAAGTATTCTTGTTCTAAATGTAACAAAAAGCACATTGTGTAAGAATGAGCAGTACCATTGCCAAGCCTTTCCACATAACTGTGTTCAGTTCAAGCAACATGAACAATCCAGAAACGATGCTGGAATCAAAGTAACAGGTACATTTGTGGAGTAGTTAATATAATGCATAGGAGATGTATTTTCTTTACTTCTTCAATAAATCTAAGAAATCGTGATTATAAGCTAGTTACTCACTTCCATCGTACCAGAAGTCTCCTTTTTCCATGATTTTTCAAGTGAAGGCATTCTGGGCAGTCTTTCTTTACTAGTGATTTTCAGTTGTTACCCAGAGATGCTCAGGACCTTGAACACTGGACCTACACTAATTACTGGTTAAGTAGCATAAATAATTGATCATCTGTTCCTTGGCTGTGAACCACTCCTGTCAGCTTTCTAAGATTCATTCCTACCCTATGTACTCTGCCAGCCAGTAGTACCATTTGCCTTTGGGCACATGTAACAACAGTATAGGCTTGCCGCACTTGAGTGCATCTCATCAATGCAGCCTAACTCACACTGCATGGGAATTTTTACTCAGATGCTGCTTTAAGAGCACTGCTTCTAAATTATTATCTAAATTTAGAGTTTATATGCTTTCTCTTTTGTTGTGGTTTTCCTATAGCTTGAAGTTTACATAGTGGATTGTACTGGGTCAGTTTCTCAGGTTTTTCTCTGTTTTATGTTAGACATTCTGGTTTGCCAAATAATTAATATGATCAGAAAAGTTATTAAACTTTTCCTTAATGAAAAATGTATACTATTTTTGATTGTGATATCAGGTTAAAGACTTTCAGCAGCTACTGTAAGTCAGGATATTGTATACAACTGTATACAGCACAAAACTGCTAAGATTTTTCAGATACCAGTGTTTATTTTAAACTTTCTTTTCCAGTCTCACTTTATTTCTGCACTGACAGTGGTGTTCGTAAACTCCAAGTCACTCTCTTCACTTAAGATCGATGATACACCAGTAGATGATCCGTCTCTCAAAGTGCTAGTGGCTAACAACAGTGACACGCTCAAACTCTTGAAAATGAGTAGTTGTCCTCATGTGTCTCCAGCTGGTAAGCAACTGTTTTGTTTGTTTTACTGTATGCTTTCAATTTGGTCAAATCTAATGAGCCCTTGAAAAAAATAGTGTGGGTTGAGTTTAGGGTTGAGCTTAAACACCCTACTACCTTGTGAAATGGTCATTGCTGCAGAGACCAGCTTCAGGGCAGGTAAGACTGCACTGGGTAAGGGACCTAAAGCAAAAGGCTGACCAGAAAGCTCTTTTTGTGGCTTTTTTTGAAGCCAACAAAAGCACTGTGTTGGTGCCGGGGGGCTGGCAGCAGCTGGCAGCTTGTGGGCAGGCTGCTGAGTCAGCTGGGGTGGAGCCAGCAATGCCCTCTCTTACCTCTGAGCTTGACCTTGACCCTTTTCCACGAGGCTGAAAGCAGCCCTCGGGAGGGCAGAATCTAGCTTCTGCTCACCTAGCGTGCCAGGTAAGAAAAGGGTTTTACTGTCCACCCATAACAGGGAGGGAAGTCAGAGTGTGAGTGCAGCCCACACTGCCGATTACTGTATCAGTACGTGTGGGAGGTTGGTCTTGTGGCAGGGCATGTCAGTGTTTTTGTCTTAGCTTAGGAGACCACTCTCCTACTGACAGACCTGGAGACCCCAGGTTCAAACATGGTCTCTGCCAGACAACAGGCTTGCCCCAAGAAAGCTGTGGCAACCCAGACAGAGGGCCTGCCCAGAAATGTGATGGTTGAGGTCTCCGGCTGCAGGGAATGCCTGAGCCTGCTGCTGTTTGGAGAGGATGGGAAGGATGACACCTGAGTGAGGTGCAAGCAGGTGGACAAACTGCTCAGCCTGGTGGTGGAGCTTAGAAAGGAGGTAGAGAGATTAAGAACCATCAGAGAGCATGAGAGGGAGATAGACTGGTGGTGTGACTCTGCCAGAAAGAAGCAAAGATTGCAATCCCCAAACTGTAGTGGACCTTGTTCCTTGCCATAGTCAAACCGAGAGAGCCAACGTGAGAAGAGAGAAGGAATAGCAGCAGGTCGCAGCTCAGAGATGCAGGCGGTGCCCATCCTGACCTACTTGGTTACCCAGGTGCCTGTATGTAATAGGTTTGAAGCCCTGAAACTGGAGGGTGAGGTGGCTGAGAATGAGGTGGGAGGATTGCCTCCAAGCTTTTCAAGCATGGAGCCGACCACCTCTCCTTAAAAGACTGCCTCCTTCAGTAAAGAAAGGAGGGTGATAGTCATAGGTGACTCTCTTCTGAGAGGAACTGAGTGCCCAATATGTTGGCCTGCTCCTACCCATAGGGAAGTGTGCTGCCTCCCTGTGGCTTGGATCAGGGATATTTCTGGAAAACTTCCTAGTCTGATCTACCCCTCTGATTATTATCCTCTATTGATAGTCCAGGCTGGCAGTGATGAGATCACTAACAGAAGCCTGAGGACTATAAAAAATGATTTAGGGGACTGGGGAAGTTAGTTGATGGAGCAGGCATACAAGTAGTATTTGCCTTTATTCCTATGGTGGTGGGGAAGGACTCTGAGAGAAGCAGGAAAACTCACCTTATAAACACATGGCTGAGATGCTGGTGCAAGTGCAAAGATTTTGGGTTCTTTCATCATGGGGCTGTCTACTTGGCACTTGGTATGGGGGCTGCCGATGGGTATCACCTATTCTAAGGGGGGAAATGGATCCTTGCCCAGGAGTTGGTGAGACTTGTAGAGAGGGCTTTAAACTAGATGGGAAGGGGGAAAGGGATAAAACCAGGCCTGCTAGAAATGAGCCTGGGGGAATGGTAATGGGATTAGGGGTGAGGCGAGGGGCTCAGTTGAAGTGCATCTACACCAATGCATGCAGCATGGACAACAAACAAGAAGAGTTGGAAGTCACTGTGCGCCAGGTTAACTATGACCTAGTTGCCATTACGGAAACATGGTGGGACCTCTCTCATGACTGAAGTGCTGCAATGGCTGACTACAAACTCTTCAGAAGGGATAGGCAAAGAAAGAGGGGTGGTGGCCTGGCTCTCTATACTAGAGAGTGCTTTGATGTCATTGAACTTGAGGCTGGGGATAATAAGGTCGAACCCCTATGGGTAAAGATCAGGGGAAGAGCTGACAATGCAGACTTCCTGGTGGATGTCTGCTGCAGACCATCGAACCAGGATGAAGACACAGATGAGTAATTCTACAAGCAGCTGGTGGAAGCTGTGCAGTCGCCAGCCCTTGTGCTCATGGGAGAGTTCAATTTCCCCAACATATGGTGGAAATACAACACAATGCAGAAGAAGCAGTCTAGAAGGTTTCTGAAGTGTATGGAGGGTAACTTTCTGATGCAGCTGGTGAGAGAGCCGACAAGAGGAACTGCCCTGCTAGACCTGCTGCTCGCAAACAGAAAATCTGGTGGGAGATGTGGAAGTCAGGGGCTGTCTTGGACAGAGTGACCGTGAAATGGTAGAGTTCTCGATTCTTGGTGGAGCCAGGAGGGGGAACAGCAAAACTGCTACCTTGGACTTCTGGAGAGTGGACTTTGAATTATTCAGAAGGCTAGTAGGGGGAATCCCCTATGTTCCAATCTTAAGAAAGGTGTCCAAGGTGGCTGGTCATTCTTCAAGAAGGAAGTCTTAAAGGCACGGGAGCTGGCTGTCCCCCGAGCCGCAAAATGAGCCATGGGGAAGAAGACCGGCATGGATGAATAGGAAGCTATTCTTGAGGCTCCGGGAGAAAAAGAAAATCTATCTCCTGTGGGAGAAGGGACAGGCAACTCAGAGTACAGAGAAGTTGTTAAGATGTGTAGAGAGAAAATCAGAAAAGCAAAAGTCCAGGTTCAACTCAACCTGGCTTCTGGGGTAAAAAGGAACAAGAAACTCTTACATAAATACATCAACAGTAAGATGAGGACTAAAGAGAATCTCCATTCTTTACTGGATGAGGCTGGGAATGTGATCACTGAGGATAAGGAGAAGGCAGAGGTTCTGAATGCCTTCTTTACGTCTGTCTTTAAAGGTCAGACCAGTTATCCTCGCGGGAACTCCGCTTTCTGACCTGGTAGTCTCTACTGGGGTACAGACAGAACCCCCGCAATTTGGGAGGACTCAGTCAGAGACCTACTACTCCAGCTGAACTGTCCATGGGGCCAGATGGGATTCCCCCGAGAGTGCTGAAATAACTGGCAGAGGAGATAGCTGAGCTGCTTGCCATTATCCATCTGCACTCCTTGTTGACTGGTGAGGTCCCAGAAGGCTTGCCAGTGCGACTCCCATCTACAAGAAGGGTTGTAAGGAGGATCCGGGGAACTACAGGCCTGTTAGCCTGACCTCGGTGTCAGGGAGGGTTATGGAGCAGATTGTCTTGAGGGAGATCACAGAATCGTAGGGGTTGGAAGGGATCTCAAGAATCATGAATCTCCAACCTCCCTGCCAAAGCAGGTTCCCTACACCAGGTTGCAAGTAGGTGTTGAGGTGGGTCTTGAATATTTCCAGAGAAGAGACTCCACAACCTCCCTGGGCAGCCTGTTCCAACACTCCTTCACCCTCACTGTAAAGAAGTTCTTGGGCATATTTGTGTGGAACTTCATATGCTCCAGTTTCCGGCTGTTTCCCCTTCTCCTGTCTCCACATACTGCTGAAAACAGTCTGGCCTTGCCACTCTGCCCCCCACACCTTAGATATTTTTATAGACCTGGATCAGGTCCCCTCTCAGTCTCCTTTTCTCAAGGCTGAACAGACCCAGTTTACTCAGCCTTTCTTCATAGGAGAGATGCTCCAGGCCCTTCACCATCTTTGTGGCCCTCCGCTGGACTCCTTCCAAGAGATCCCTGACTTTTTTGTACTGGGGAGCCCAGAACTGGACGCAGTACTCCAGATGAGGCCTTACCAGGGCAGAGTAGAGAGGGAGGATCACCTCCGTCGACCTGCTGGCCACGCTCTTTTTAATGCATCCCAGGATGCCATTGGCCCTCTTGGCCACAAGGGCACACTGCTGGCTCATGGCCAACCTGTCGTCCACCAGGACACCCAGGTCCCTCACTGCAGAGTTCCCCTCCAGCAGCTCATCCCCCAACCTGTACTGGTGCATGGAATTATTCCTCCCCAGATGCAAGACTCTACACTTGCTTTTGTTAAACCTCATCCGTTTTTTTTCTGCCCAGCTCTCCAGCCTGTCCAGGTCTCACTGAATGGCAGCACAGCCTTCAGGCTTGTCAGCCAATCCTCCCAACTTCGTATCATTGGCAAACTTGCTGAGGGTGACCACTATCCCCTCATCAAGATCATTGATGAAAATGTTAAACAAGACCGGACCCAACTCCGTCCCTTGATCACGTGGCATGTGCGGGACAACCAGGTGATCAGGCCCAGCCACCATGGGTTCATGAAGGGCAGGTCCTCCTTGACCAACCTGATCTCCTTCTATGATCTAGTGATTTTTTTTTCTCATGGGACTGTTATTATTATTAGGTTGCTACAAACTGTTGAAGAACTTGAACTGAATCAAAAAGGTGATGAGTTGCACAAAAGCAGTCACTTGCTAATACACTTAAAATGTATAATGTGTCTTCAAAGTGCAGATTTGAGGGAGAGTAGATGTTTGGTACTAGATCAGTTCTTAAGAATTGTGTTCTTAACAATAGTGCAGGACAGAGAAGTAGTTTGAGTAGTGAAAAAGAGACCCCATTGCTGCTGGGATGAAGATGATCAGTATTGAACTTACCCTGTATCTTCTGTATTTAATGAAAATGTAGCATTCATTAAATATCTGTTCCTTGGGTGGCAGTCAGATTTTGTTCTTGGCTGCTTGGTCAGATATAGTCATGGGCAATATGCTTCCAGAGTGGGTGAATCTAATGAGGTTTAACACAGCTAAGTGCAAGGTTTTGCACTTGGGCTGGAGGAATCCCAGACATATATGCTGACTGGGAGGAGCAATCTTGGAGAGTAGCCCTATGGAGAAGGACCTGAGGGTCTTGGTGGATGAATGTGAGCCAGCAGTGTGCTCGTGCAGTTCAGAAAACAAATGACATCCTGGACTCCATCAGAAGAGGGGTGGCCAGCAGAGAGAGGGAGGTGATTGTCATTTTCTATTCTGCCCCTGTGAGGCCCCATCTGGCATATTGTGTCCAGGTCTGGCACCCCCAGTACAAGAAAGACAGCTGTTGGAGAGGGTCCAGAGGTGGGCCCCAAAGGTGATCAGAGGGCTGGAGCACCTTCCCTATGAAAACAAGCAGAAGGGGCTGGGCTTATTCAGCCTAGGGAAGAGAAGGCTGCAGAGTGACCTCATTGCAGCCTTCCAGTACCTAAAGGGAGCCTGCAAACAGTAGGGGACTCAAATCTATGAAATAGTAGAGAACAGCAGGACAAGGGGAAATGGTTTTAATTTGAAATAAGGAAGATTTAGGTTAAATATCAGGGGAGGTTCTTTATGATGAGAGTGGTGAGGTGCTGGAACAGGCTGCCCAAGGAGGATGACCCATCCCTGGAGGTGTTCAAAACCAGGCTGGATGGGGCCCTGGGCAGCCTGATCTAGTATTAAATGGGGAGGTTGGTGGCCCTGCCTGTGGCAGGGGGGTTGGAGATTTACGATCCTTGATTCCCTTCCAACCCAAGCCATTGTATGATTCTGTGATTTATTATGAACTTGCATTTATAGATAGACTTACGGCAGGATGGAACAGTTAAGAGTGTGTAAATCTTATGTTTGCCACATACAAGAATCAACTCCCAAGGGAAAGTATACAACACATAATATATGTATATCTTACTTTGCACAAAGAAGTCATAAGACATTGGTCACGTGACAAAAGATTCATGTTTTGGTTGTCCAGTAAGATTTAATTTTGATATTGCATAATGATTCTATATTGAAATGCATATTCTTTGCAACTTTTTGATATACAGAAACAAATTCTTATGTTTCTTATTCAAGTACTGGTATATTTACCTGTATAACCCATTCCGTAATGTTCTGCTTTGCAAGGAATCCTTTGTGTGGCTGATCAGTGTCATGGTTTACGTGAGTTGGCGCTCAACTACCATCTGCTGAGCGATGAGCTGCTGCTCGCCTTGTCTTCTGAAAAACATGTCAGATTAGAACACTTGCGCATCGATGTTGTCAGTGAAAATCCTGGACAGACTCAGTTCCACACGATTCAGAAGAGCAGCTGGGACGCTTTCATCAAGCATTCTCCTAAAGTGAACTTAGTCATGTATTTTTTCTTGTATGAAGAAGAGTTTGACCCATTCTTTCGCTATGAAATACCTGTCACTCACCTTTACTTTGGAAGATCGGTAAGCAAAGATGTACTTGGCCGCGTTGGGATGACGTGTCCTCGGTTGGTTGAATTGGTCGTGTGCGCCAATGGATTACGGCCACTGGATGAGGAGTTGATCCGTATCGCAGAGCGGTGCAAGTATTTGTCAGCTGTTGGCCTAGGAGAGTGTGAAGTCTCTTGCAGTGCCTTTGTTGAGTTTGTGAAGATGTGTGGCGGCCGTCTCTCACAGCTTTCTATTATGGAGGAAGTTCTGATTCCTGACCAGAAATACAGCTTAGAGCAGATCCACTGGGAAGTTTCAAAACATCTCGGTAGAGTCTGGTTCCCGGACATGATGCCTACGTGGTAACATCCTGAAAAGACTTCAGGGCAGATGGAATAGCACCTTATGCTTACCGTCTTGTAATTTATTGTATAAGCTTAATTGATACTGTAGTTTATTATTGTAAGTCACTGCAGCGTTTGATAGGATTTCATTCAGAAACAATTTGTGAAATTCAAATAATTCAAAATAGAAATCATAAATATCTCTAAAACCTTTCTGCATCCAATGATGGATTAGATATGTTCTTTTTAATTGATAAATTAGGAGTTTTTTAATTTCTATTAAAAAACATTGAAATGTAACTGTAAAATAACTTCAATATCCTGAACTTCTTTGATTTAAATACTAATACCGAACACAATTGGATTTGTTATTAAAAGCCAAAAAAAAAAACCCCACAAGTTTCATGCTCTGTTGCACACTATAGCATGATTAAGTCCAGTCACCCAGGTGACAGGGTTAAGAATATATGGAGAATTTAGTAGGCTGTGAAATGTATACATTGTTTATATTAAGTGGTAAAAAGCAAGATCAATATATAACAATATAGGTTAGAAAATTAAAATACTGAATTTGTTATCTTATTCAGTTTATTAGATCAATCTAAAGTATATTTAGAGTGCAAACAAATAGTAATGAGAGCTACCAGAAGCGGTTTGCTTTTCTTCTTTCTCTAGGTATCTTAGTTTGCTTATGGGGTCTCAGATTCATGTCCAAACCTGTTTTAAGGTATTTTATGTCTAGCTCAGGAAGCGCAAGCATTCTGGGAAAAATTGTAGATACGTTGTATTTAAATAGGCATTGGAGTTAATGAGCTTTTCTTGCACATTAACCAGTTTTGCAGCATATTGTTAGACAGAGTAATGTACAGCTTATTAAATGTACGCTGCGGTACTCAGTGGGACAACATGGATGTGAACAGTGCGAGGTGAGATAAAATAGGATTGGTGACCGAGTACCTTTGAACAACACAGTAGACGTTGGCTGCTTTCAGTTTGAGGGAAAAATGATATTGTAATGGTTGCTTATGCTGTATAACTAATTGTACACTGTAAATCAGTTTCAAAAATGTTTATGTATAAAGTAAATGTTTGATAGATGATCATTTTGTATAACTTTTAATTCAACTGGTTCAATCATTTCGTATTTTAAAACCGCAAAGCAGTAAACTTACGTGAAGTAGAGCAGTAGAGGAAAACATTTTGATTATTTGCTAAAATCATTTTTTTAGAGAAAATTCTAGTGTAGGCAACATATTGCCTGTGATCTGGATGTGTCTTGTGACTTCACTTCCTACTGCCAACAGTTGGGTTACTTTCTATTCTATTGATGGATAACACTAAACTGTTAATGTTACAGATGAATGTTTGCAAGGTGTGATTGGCCACCTGCAAGGCAGAGCTTCTCCAGTCTGGGGCTGTACTGAGCTCCGCTGGTGGCTGCTTCTCGTTTGAGCTGTACATGTACTGGTAATGAGTAGGTTTTCACTTCTGGTTTCAGTAATGTTTTATCCAGATGTATAGTTCAATGGTAATATACTTATGAGCATATTTAGTTCATAATGATATTTTGAGCAAGCATTGCTCAGTGGACTGGAGGTCTTTATAGGGAGTTGTATGTTTCTGTAGAGCTTTGTCATTTAAAAATCACATTTTATGAAGTACACTTTTTTGTATTAGAATTTGTTAATGTACTGCTATAATTTGCTTTTATTTGTATAAAAGGTGTCAATATATCTAGATCATTGAAGTAAAAAAGTTCAGTGTTTTTTATGTTTTCACTCTCAGAATGACTTGTGTGATAAAAATGGAGTAACACTAACAGGCTGGGGAAGAGGGAATGTTATCACTAAGTCAGCATGTGATGTCTTCTGCTAATGCAACTCTTAGGACCTTGACTGTGTTCTCATACAGACAAGGTAAGCAATACCTTGTCTGTCGCTCACTGCTGTGGTAGTGCAATGACAGAAAGACAGGACAGATAGGCCAAATACATTCATCTCCTCACTCCAGGAATTCCCATCTTTTAATTCCAGCCCTCTGCTTCTCACAGACAGAAATCTGAAATGGAGAATGTGGCAGGAAGGCTTTATGCTTAGTTGTAATTCAGCTGTTCTCCCCATCAAGGGTGGCCTTTTCTGAGAAAGTCTCTATTCTGTTGCATAACTTTCAAACAGTTCTGTGTATGGATAGAGATGTATAGATGTGACACTCAGTTCAAGAAGAAAAGTGGTTGTTTCCCCTTTCATTTAAGTCTGCACTTTTTACATCACACCAGTTAGTGTTCTCAGCTCAACTAAACGGCTCGGACTTCCCAGGCAAGTCTACATTGTAAATACCTTCAAGAAAAGCTGCAGTAGTGCCCTTATAAGCAAATCTTGTACTATTCTTTGTCTTCAACACATGGTGGAACAAACAATAGAATCCATGGTGTAAGCTGTAACAGGAGTACCACGGACTGTCACAAAGGTCAATGTGGGGTTGTCAAAATAAATGCTGCTGCTGAATCTAAAACTGGAGCATTGTGTTAACGAGGATTTTTTAAAAGGGACTCAGAACCTCAATGTTTGTAGTTCAGACTACAAAATATAAATTAATTTTCCTAAAAGACACATGACATAAAAGTTTGGATATGGTTTTGATACTATTTAACTAGAACAGTGAAGCTAGAGTTAACCTTAGATGTTCTGTATGATTTGTTCATCCTTTTCATTAGATATCCCAATTTACTATATCTGCCACTGTTATTATTAAGTTCCCCTGCTGTGAAATGGAGACCACAGGGTGTGTTCCTCCACTTCTGTAGGACAGTCAACGTAGCATTTCCTCACCAGATGCTCAGGAACTGGACAGCTTTTGCCCCAGAACCTATGGAATGAGGGTAAAGTCTGATTTCTTAATGCTGTAACTGAAATCAGTCAACGCAAAGGAGGACCTGGACTGGAAGACTTGTAGACCTAATTGATGGCTGTTACTTCATGCCCTTAGAGGTGTGGACAGTATGATTTCTGTATTTTATCTCCTAAATGCAAGGTGCATAAAAGCAGAGAGTGGAACTGAGAGTTCAAAATAATCTGTATCGCCTGTTATAGAATACCTAATCAGGCTGAAGAGAAGAACGAGGCATTCTGTGAGCAGCTTGCGTAAGTTGTGCGATCGCCAACACTCGTTATCATGGGAGACTTCAACTTCCCTGATATATGTTGAAAATATAATACAACACAGAGGAAGTAGTGCAAGAGGTTTCTAGAGTGTGTGGAAGATAGCTTCCTTATACAGCTGGTACGAGAGCCTACCAGGGGTGGTGCCCTGCTAGACCTGCTCTTCACTAATAGAGAACGACTGGTGGGAGATACGAAAGCTGGGGACTGTCTTGGGCAGAGCGGCCACAAAATTGTAAAATTCTCTATTTTTGGAGTTGTCAGAAGGGCGACTGGCAAAAATGCTATCTTGAACTTCCAGAGGGCAGATTTCGACCTGTTCAGGATGCTTGTTGCAGGGGTCCCTTGGGAGTCGCTCCTGAAGTGTTAAGGGGTCCTGGAAGCCTTGGTACTCCTCAAGATGGAAATCTCAAAGGCACAAGAACAGAGTGTTCCTGAATGCCAAACAGCAAGCTGTAGGGGAAGAAGAACAGTGTGGATGAACTGCGAACTACTAGTGAGACTCCGGAAGAGTCTATGTCCTATAGAAGGCACAGGCTACTTGGAGAGATTACAAGGAGGCTGCTAAGGTACGCAGGATGGAAGTTAGGAAGGCAAAAGCCCAACTTGAACTCAGATTGGCCACTACAGTAAAAAACAGTAAGAAATCCTTTTACAAATAAATCAATGGTAAGAGAAGAACCAAGGAGAATTTCCATCCTTTCCTTGATGCAGCACGGAATGTGATCCCTGAGGATAAAGAGAAAGAAAATGGATTTAAGTTGAGGGAGGGGAGACTTAGGTTGGATGTCAGGGGGAAATTCTTTACAGCGAGAGTGGTGAGGTGCTGGAACAGATGTTGTGGATGCGATGTCCCTGGAGGTGTTCAAGGCCAGATTGGATGGGGCCTTGGGCAGCCTGGTCTAGTATTAAACAGGGAGGTTGGTGGCCTTGCCTGTGGCAGGGGGGTTGGAGATTCATGATCCTTGAGGTCCATTCTGATTCTGTGATTTTGTGGTTCTATGATTCTGTGAAGGCTCAAGTCCTGAATGCCGCCTTTACATCTATCTTTAAAAGGCAGATCAGTTATCCGCAGGGCACTTTACGCCCTGATCTGGAAGTCTGGAGTGGTTTGCAGAATACACCTCCGGTGATTCAGGTGGAGACAGTTAGACAGTTCCTCCTCCATCTGGACTGTCACAAATCCATGGGACCAGATGGGCTCCACCCTTGGGTGCTGAGGGAGCTGGCGGGGGTGATTGCCAAGCCGCTTTCTGCCATCTATCAGCAATCCTGAGGAGCTCCTAGGGCATATGAGGCTTACCAATGTTACCCCCATCTACAAGAGGGGCCATAAGAAGGATCTGGGGAACTACAGGCCAGTCAGCCTAACATCAACACAGACCTCATCTGGAGTACTGCGTCCAGTTCTGGGCTCCCCAGTACAAAAAAGACAAGGATCTCTTGGAAAGAGTCCAGCGGAGGGCCACAAAGATGGTGAAGGGCCTGGAGCATCTCTGCTATGAGGAAAGGCTGAGTGATCTGGGTCTGTTCAGCCTTGAGAAAAGGAGACTGAGAGGGGACCTGATCCAGGTCTATAAATATCTAAGGTGTGGGGGGCAGAATGGCGAGGCCAGACTGTTTTCAGTGGTGAGTGGAGACAGGAGAAGGGGAAACGGCTGGAAACTGCAGCATAGGAAGTTCCGCACAAATGTGTGCAAGAACTTCTTTACAGTGAGGTGACGGAGCACTGGAACAGGCTGCCCAGGGAGGTGGTGGAGTCTCCTTCTCTGGAGATGTTCAAGACCTGCCTGGATGCCTACCTGTGCGACCTGCTGTAGGGAACCTGCTTTGGCAGGGGTTGGACTCGATGATCTCTGGAGGTCCCTTCCAACCCCTACAATTCTGTGATTCTGTGATTCTGTGATTCTGTGATCAATACCAGGGAAAGTTATGGAGCAAATCATCTTGGGTGAGATCACAAGGCACGTGCGTGGCGTCCATGGGATCAGGCCCAGCCATCACAGGTTCATGAAAGGCAGGTTGTGCTTGAGCAACCTCATCTTCTGCGACGGGGTGACCAGCTGGAAGATATTATTCTGTTAACAGTTACTCAAACAGTGTCTCAAAGCTTGCTGGGAACAAAGATGAACAAGTCCAGGCAAGTCCTGGGCAGGGGTTGAGAAATCCTTTCTCAGGAGAACTTCGATGGACAAGCCCTGGGCAAGGGTTGTGAAATCCTTTGTTTGAAGGACACAGATGAACAAGTCCAGGCAAGTCCTGGGCAAAGGTTGTGAGATCCTTTCTCTGGAAAAATTGATGAGACAATTCCTGGGTAAGGGTTGTGAAATCCTTTGTCTGGGGGACACAGATGGACAAGGCCAGGGGCAAGGAGAGATGAGCTGCAGCTTAATAGCTGTGAAGCAGTCTTTTGTGTGGACTTATCTCAGGATGATGGCCATCTCAGGGGGCACTCACGTGACTCTTGCTCAAGCGCCCAGGGATGTCAGGTAGGCAGGAGAACAAGTAGGATAAAAGAGGAATCGAAAACTATGAGGACAAGTGTCTGACAACAGATTTCTCACAAAGTGATGCCTGCGTGCTGAAGTAGAAGAAGAGGTGTCTGCCATCAGATTCCTCACACTACGGAATTCTTGCATCTTGATGAACTCTGGGCCTGCTGCCTTAGCACTGCTGCTTCCTCCTAGATTGGCTCCGCGACTGCCTCCTGCTCTCCTGCTACCTGATGAACTCTCCTGGGCCTGCTGCCTGAGCTGCTTCCTCCCGCACTGGCTCCGCGACTGCCTCCTGCTTGCTGCCCAAGTCCGGTGGTCGCACTGCTGCTACCTTCCCTCCTCCCTCCTCCTCCCCCCCCCCCCCCCCCCCCGCTTCTGCCTCGGACCTTCGAAACGTCACACGATGGGACTGCTGCTGGATCCTGGTGGTGAGTATCCCCGCTTTACACAATTCTTGCTTCTTTCCTATCTTTTCTATCGCCCTCCTTCCCTTCCCCGTCTCCTTGATTAGGATTTGTAATAAACTGGATGGACTAACTTATGAACCGTTGTTTCTTAATCTCACACCGAGTATACAGATATTAAAAGAACCTCATCTCCCTCCTATAAACTGGAGTGAGACACAGCCTGGTAGATGAGGGAAAGGCTGTTGATGTAGTCTACCTAGACTTCAGCCAAGCCTTTGATACGGTCTCTCACAATATTTTTCAGGGGAAACTGACTGCCTGTGGCCTGGACAGGTATACACTTCTTTGGGTAAGGAAGTGACCAGAGGGTTGTGTCCAAGGGGTAGTGGTTAATGGAGTTAAGTCTGACGAGCAGTTTACACGTGGTGTCCCCAGTGGTCAGTTCTGGGTTCCATTTTGTTTGATATCTTCATTGATGGCCTAGATGAGGGGATTGTGTGTACCTTCAGTAAGTTTGCAGATGACACCAAGTTGGGAGGTGGCCTTGATCTGCTTGAGGGTAGGGAGGCCCTTCAGAGGGATCTGGATAAGCTGGATCGCTGCGCTGAGGTGAATGGGCCTCACGGTGAGTGCCATGTCCTGCACTTTGGCCACAGCAACCCCATGCAGCACTATAAGCTTGGGGATGAGTGACTGGATGACTGTGAAGAG